GCGGGCTACCAATACGAAGAACACCACCCGTTGATGGAAGTGTGGTGTTGGGTGGATGGAGTTCTACTTATCGGCGGGCAGTGACTGGCAAATAACTGGCAAACGACTGGCAAACGACTGGCAAATAACTAGACTTCTCTTCTTTAATTGTGAAGAGTCAGTCAGTCAGTCGACCGAGTCAATGCGGGTGACTTTCTTGGGCGAGCCAGAATCCCATGTTCCGCCAGTCCCAGCATTGCTGCGTGGCTCTTACTACGATAGTGAGTCGCTCTCATGAGAAGAAGGGCACTTCACCCACCACATGATGAGCGGGCAAGCAGAGAATTGCTCCCGGAGCAGTCAAAACTTGATCTCCAGTACCTCGCACCGGGACTGGGACCGACTTGCGATGTCGAAATGCCCCCAAGTCGGATTGCCGAATGGGAAGCGCTATAAGGCAGCCTGGCAGAGCCCCCGACTTCTTCCATGGCGATCTTGCCTGGGTGCTGTGCTTGATGCGATTATGCAATCAAGACTTGTTTTTTCTTTTGCACTTGTCGTGATGCATATAGAGCTGGCCTTGGGTCGCTGATTCGATCCTTCTCCTGTGACTTCAGTTTGAGCTGCGGCTCATTGTCGGTCGTTCTGCTGCCAATCCCTTATGTCTTTCCCCGCCTCTTCACCCGAGCTCGTCGCTTCTCTCTAGCTTTTCCACGCGTCACCTGTTGTGCGGAGCACATTCCCTCGGTGTCAGAAAAAAAGGAACCTATCTACAAGAACCATATATACCCAAACGCAAATGATGTGGAGCAATAGAGTAAGCAATCCGACCGAGATGAGCCATTGCAGCACTGCACAGGGTCGAGTTCCTGCAATACTCAGTCGCTAGATCAACCAGTTCGACTTAGCAAGGCAGCAATCGATGAATGTGAGGGGAGCGGTCCGGTATAACCACCACGGTTTGAGTTAACGAAGATTTTTGGCCGTCTCAATCATCCGCTGTTATACTTGGTCGGTTGGTTGTCCCGGGGAAGCCGCCGGCGTATACAACCGTTCAGCGGCGAATAGAAATAGCGCGATCCCAGCTTGGAAGAGTCCGAGCCATCTTCGAGCAAAAGGGCACGGCTATGATAGATCAAAGGACAAGCTCCCCGATAATTACTCGAAGATTCACCCATGTGCCATATGTGAGACTGAGCTTCGCATGAAGCGAGCATCAGCTAAGGGCGGGAAACAAACGACTGAAATCTACCGAATCACACGTAGAATCCAGGAATCGGACGATAGGCAGGTATTCGTCTAGCCTTGGGATGGCTGGGCCTATCTGAAATCCAAGGCCATACGTACCTAGACACCCATGCTAGGATGGGGTGACATCGGAACAACCCAGTCCCTCAACTTAAGGGATCAACACTTTCCAGTCTTTCACACTGTTGGCTGGCAACGCGCAGGAAGTCTATAGCGCACACAAGTTTAGAGTGAATGTTTGCTATACTAAGCTGGTCGTAGAGATCAACAAAGAATCTTGAATCTGCAGAGAGTCGAGATGTGGTCGGCCATGATGGGCAAGTGGGCGGTCGGGATGCGGAAGAACATTGGGTTCCAGCTCAGGCAGGTTCACTGTCAAGGAGCGGATGAACATGGCGGAGATCGACTCGAGAGATCCCATAGAGCACTTGGGGAATTGCAAAAGACAGGATCAACATCTAAATACCCCGTCTTGACTCCTCCGTAGCTGAATCGTTGACGAGAGGCTGGTCTGTTGGAGGGCAGACTGTTGTGCCTTGTTGACTTGATAACAGGTCAAGGGTTGTCGTAAGCCGGAAACAACGGGGGTCTTTAGAAGTTCAACCCGCTCGACAGTCACGTGCACGGGGCTCGGTAGCCGGATTTAGTGAGGTCCGTGTTTGACATGTTTGTCTGGATGCCCACCAAGTTCACTAGTTAGACTAGTGTCTCTTTCCCTGCAGTGCTTCTTCGAGATATCTACTTCGCTACAACTCTATATGGTTGTTGGAAGTGCAGACCTTACAGTGTGTTTCTGTTCAAATACAAGGTCTTTTGATCAACAATGATACAACATGATCGATTACGGCAAGCTGCTACTACTAATTTACCAATGATCTCGTTCGCCGTAGCTAAACCCACACATTGATACCAAACCCTCCTGCAACAAATATGGATTGGCGAGTGCCATCAAGATTCTCGCAAGACTATTCCCGTGTATAATGCCAACCCCGTTTCTTGCCTGCCTCCCTATGCTGGTTACGCGGCTTTCCCATTCAAGGATATGACAGCACACTATACAGAAGACAATTCCGGCCATAAACAAACGGAGATAAGCCCGCTCCTGAGAGTATATTTTAAACCTCGGAGAGATGTACACATACATAGCACCTATCGGACATCGGAGCAGACTTAAGCTATTCTTTAGCAGCTACTCGGTGACTAACGAGAGATGCCTGACAAGGCCACCTATGTTTCATGTTGAAGAAACAGCAGCGCCCTGCGATGGAAAGTCGTCGTCATCTTACCCACTCCCTGTTTCTAGTCGCGCAGAAGCGGAGGTGGGGCATCCAAACCAAGCAGAACGGTAATTAAGCTTACCTCCAGCTCCAATGATGTCCCTTGGCGAACCAGATAAGATGGAACGGTTCCTGGCTCCCGTTTTGCTGCTGCGGAGACTTTCCTCTTCCCAGCGACTTTTTGCAGATCAGCTTCGAGAAGCCCGGCCCGGCCGTCAGACAATGTGGTGGATAAAGCACTAACATAAGGTTGTTGAATGTTGATACACCATGATGGGTCCTCTTCGAGTGCGTGCAACATCGACACGGACTAATGCGTCGTCGTGATGTGGATCTATTCCAGAAGCACACTTTATTTGGTTCATCCTTCCTTAAGGAGTCATATGGCTTCATCTGAGGTATAAAGTGTGCCATCTTTCTGTTCCTACCAGCATGAACACACACATTCCATTCTTTGTCTCTAGACATTCCTTCGTTCTTCATCAGATCTCATTGCAGCAATGAAGTCTGCTGCTCCTCTCCTTACCGTGGCCACGCTGGCAGCGGCCAAAAGGAACTGCAGTGTCGAGAGCATTGCCCCGTTCTTGCCCAAAAACTCTACTGTTTATTATGCGGATCATTATGCCAAAGGAGCCAATTTCACCCCTCCCATCGAGCTCAACTACGGGTTGACTTCTATTCCCACGGGAAACAACCCCTACGAGGTCTCTGTCGATAGCTGTGTTGCCCAGGCCAATATCACCTTGCCCAACAACACTCAGCACAGCGTCGGTATCGTGCTCCCTGATGACTGGAACGGTCGGTTCATGGCCGTTGGTAACGGTGAATTTTCGGGATCGGTTGGTTGGTCTTCCATTATGAACACCGCCTGGTATGGCTTCGCCAGTATCTCCACCGATACTGGTCACGAAGGCAACAACGGCAGCTTCGGGTACCACAATGAAGCTGCTCTTACCAATTGGGGCTACCGTGCCCTTCACGACGCGGTTGTCAACGGAAAGAAAGTGACGGAGGGATACTACGGTCACAACATCTCCTACAGCTACTACCGTGGATGCTCCGCCGGTGGCAAGCAGGGTATGAAGGAGGTCCAGATGTTCCCCGATGACTTCGATGGTGTCATTGCAGGAGCGCCAGCCTGGTGGACCGACCACCAACAGCTGTGGAACGTGCTCACTGCCATCTGGAATCTTCCCGAGACGGCCGACTACCACGTCACCGATGCACAGATGGAGGCGGTGCAGGCTGAGATGCTGAAGCAGTGTGACCCTCAGGATGGGCTGAAGGACAGCATCCTCCAGAACCCCTTCGGCTGTGTCTTCGATCCTGTCCCGGTGATGTGCAATGCCACCTCCTCCAATGACACCTGTGTGACGCCCGCCCAACTCACCACCGTCAACAAACTGTTCAACCCCTGGGTCGAAGCCAACGACACCTTCATCTTCCCTGGATATACTCTGGGTACCGAGGTTGGCGCCCCTACTCTGGACGACGACTTCGTCACCTACATCCAGTACATGCTCCAGATCGGCGGCGACTGGACCTGGGAAGACTGGAACCCCGATCTCATCGCTCTCTCCGAGAAGCTGAACCCGGGTAATGCCACCGCCGACGACTTCGACATTTCTCCTTTCTACAAGAGGGGTGGCAAGCTCCTTCATTACCACGGCTACTCCGACCCGTCGATCGCTTCCAAGTCCTCCCTGTACCTCTACAATCATTACCAGGAGGCTCTCCGGCCCCAGGGCATTCCCGTCGATGATTTCTACCGTTTCTTCTTCGTGCCCGGCATGGAGCACTGCACCAGCACCCCCACAGACCAAGACGCCCCCTACTACATGAACGGAGACAGCCAGGCTGGCTCCCTGTCCGGCACCATCTTCGGTGTGCCCGGCTTCAACGACAGCAAGCATGATCTTATCCTCGCTATGGTGGACTGGGTGGAGAACGACAACGCTCCCGATTACTTGATCCCCACCAAGTACAAGAACGACGTGGTTGCCGACGGTGTCGACAAGCAGCGCCCGATCTGCCCCTGGCCCAGCCTGGCCAAGTACAAGGGCCAGGGCGATGTCGACAAGGCCGAGAACTGGGAGTGCGGTACTCTGTACTAAGCCTAGGTGTCTGCCTCGTCATGTGCAGTACTCTTTAGTCCATGTATACTAGTGTTTAGACTTGTGTTATGATGTATCAATAGCATACCTGCAGGCCCCCTTTTCAGGACGGTCCTCAGTGAGCGAAAGATATCAAAGTGGATTAGTTTTTTCATTTCAGATTTCTGTTGAAATCTCTTATGAGCAGCTGTATCTTACAGTCCCAGTTTCTTCGAGTATCACCGCATCAATAAATGTCCCATGCATGTCCTCATCCAACATGCCATTCCTTGAATCCATCCCACTATCCATTTCACCAAATCAATTCCACCTCCCATCATAAACCCCACGACCCATCTACACCAGAACCCGTTATCGAAAAAAAATCCCATCATGGAAAATTCCAGGCTTTCACCGATCCAACCTCACAACCTCCATCCAATCCACCTGGCTCCTCAGCGTCGCCATCCGCATCTGCTCATCCCAGGTGACCCTCTGCCCCGCGATGCCGGGGGTCTCGAACTGTTCGCGTCCGCCATCCCCAAACACCAGCTTGTACATTTTCTGCAGATCCAGCCCGCGGTGCAGGAGCTCGCGCATGATCCACTGGTCGGGGCGCAGCAGTTTGATTTTTGTGGGGGTGTTCTTCCTTCCGTAGTATTCGTATTGCAGGGGTTCGAGGTCTTCTTCGGTGGGTGTGGTGCTGGGTGTGGATGAGGATGGGGTGGTTGTAATGGGTACTGGGTTGGTGGGTTCAGTGGGTTCAGGATCTCCAGGGACTGCAGGTCCAGCACGCCCTTCGTTTCCGTCCTTCACCTCGAGCATATCACCATCCTTACCCGCACCCCCATCCGTCCCCTTCACCTCACTATCTTCCTCTTCTTGACCAGTAGCAGCACCACCAGGTCCAAAGGTCCCCCCCCTCTTCCACCTCCCCACTTCCAGATAATCCGCCAAAACAACCAACGACGGCTGCGCAAGACACAACTGCCGCATAACCGTAAACCTCGTCACGCCCTTCACCTCCTCCAGAAACGCATCGACCTGGACCAGGAAAAACACACCCAGAAACAGATCCAGATCCGACCACAGATTGCGGTTGCGGACTGTCCACTCGCGGCGGTGGTTGTCGGGGACGTCCATCAGGAACCAGAGCTTACGGAGGATGAGGGCCGTGCCTGCGGGGAGGAAGATGTTGGCTGCGAGCAAGGTGGTGAGGATGCGGTTGATGGTGGTGGTGCGAGTGGTGAGCATTAGGAGGTAGCCTAGTTTAGCGCGTGGCTGGGGGTGGGGGTTTGAGGGGTTAGTGGTGTAGAGGCTTGGGTAGCAGATCAGGGGGAAGGTGTCGGATATGTTGGTGGGGTGGTTGGTGTTGAGGTGTTGGAGGTGGTGGGTTATGATTGTGGGGAGGTTGTGGTGGAGGGATTGGTGGAGGGGGCGCGAGAGGGAGAGTAGGGTTAGGATGTCCTCGGGGTGGAGGAGGTCGGTGACCATCACGGTGAGTTCGGGGTGGGCGGAGAGGGCGGAGAGGAGGTCGAAATTGTTGTGCGGGATTGTGATGGTAATGGTGGAAGGTTGACGGGGTTCTTCCTCTGGGATCTCTTCTTGGGCCCAGAGTATGTTGATGTTATTGTTGTTGTTGTCTGGGGCTGGTGTGTTGGGCAGGAGACGGGGTGGATGAGCGGCTGGGTCGGTGTCGGGTTCGGATTTGACCACCGCTGATGCTGGTGCTTGGGAGTCAGGCGTAGAGGTGTGCAGGCTGTTCTGGTCCCGGGTGCGCCGTGTGACAGAGCGTGTGAGATAGCGAGAACTTGCTGGACGCTGCGGGGTCTGAGGTTGAGGTTTGTTGTCGGTAGCCGCTGGCTTGTCGTCTTCAGACTTAGGTTCGGGGTCCTGATTCACAGGATGGCTGTGTAGTGCAGTGTCCCTGGTGACTGGCCCGTTGATGAACCCAGGAGCTCCGCATGGCACGATCCGAAGAGGCCGAAGTGGTCCGCTGAACTGCGCAGGTGGGATTCTAGGCACGGCAACAGCGTCGGTTCTGATCTGCAATACAACCGGAGCCGAAGGCCTGTTCACCATCCCCTGAGGACGGATGGGTGCGATCTCCTCTGGCTGTACGCCCGCGATCATCTGCTGCCGGATTAGATACTTCTGCAGCGACATACCAGGATGGGAGTCTGCGGTGCTTTGCTCCCGATGAGAAGAGGATGCAGCTGAGCCGTTGACACCGGTGGTTGAATTGGCGGTTCTACCCGAGGCATCGTAAGCGGCGGTGTTGGTCTGTGGGTTGTGCTGAGTTGATCCAGTGTGTCCCGGATTCTGGTTGCCCGACGATACATGGCGCGGACCAGCGGGTCGGGAGTTTCTCGCAGGCAAGAAGCGTGGAGGCAATCGATTCGTGTGGCCTTGTGCAGCACCTGGGATTCGACCGAGCCGAGATGTCTGCTCGCGATACAGGCGGCCGCCACGCGGTGGGAAGCGCTGCATGATGTTCTGCCGCGCAGCTTCGGCTCTTCCGGGTGGTCTGTTGTTCATCACATGGCGCAGAATCATCAAGCGTGTGATCTGACGCTGCTCCTGGTCTTGAGCATACTGCGGAGAGCCCTCTTCATGGAACGGGGGGATGTTTGCTCGCAACCCAGGGAAGCTGTTCTGTGAGGCAGTACGAGCTGTGATGAGATGAGGGTGTTGCGGAAAGAGGCCCACAGCGATAGGAGGCTGGATCACTCGACTATGAGAGATACTGCCTGGCTCATGTCTATGAGCAGCGCTCAAATGAGGATGAGGCCGAATCTGGGGAGGAGAGGGTGGCAGCATATCCACATCGTGGCCGCGGGAAGTCTGCATATCGTCATGCTGCTGACTGTGCTCGGTATCCTCATGGCTATTTATCTCGTGACTATTGCTCACAGCTCCCTGGACGTCGCGTGGGGTGGCTGTGGCGCTTCGGCTCGCCCACAGAAGAAGCAAGCCTTCGGCGGCTGCCAGCTCGTCGGGTGTATACGACCTTGCCATGATGACAGCGGGGTTCTTTCTCCGGTGCTGTCAGCAGGAAGGCCGTAGAACGCCTTATGTCTACTTGTAAACAAAGTTAGTGTTGTGCCAACGGTTCTTGGAGGAAGGATATAGTTCTTACTCAACGAGACACTTACCTCGCTTCAAATCGAGTCAGGACAGATGGAAGAGTACTATCAAGCAGCTGGCGGATAGAGGCAGATGTGCGTTGAGGCTTTTCACGCTTGCTTGGATGATAATTGTGGAAAGTGTGGATAAAGAGTGGGAAGAGGAAGATGAGTTGTTCATGGGTGGTGAGAGATGGAGGAGAAACGAACACCATAGCGACTGATATACCCCACCCAGGCCAGGCTGTTGACGCAAAATTCACTACAGTCAGTCATTCACTGCGAGACCTAGAATAAAAACCAGAATGTAAGCCAAGGCACACACCAATCCAGCACGTCCATTCACTAATAAAGATGCTCCACAACACGGAGCATTCATGGTAGTTTCCTTGCGTTTCAATTTTCTCAGTTGTTCAGTATCTATATAGTTTGGATCTCGGATCTTGATTAGATATAGAAACTTTGTGTTACTTCTACAGGTTGTCCCGAACAAGGACAAGGATAAGCTGATACCGCAAAGGTATTTGTTGTAATTATCGAAATGTATATATTTACTTGTGCCGATTCCCGAGCACTCAAGAGCGGGCTGGTCAGGGAGCTTGACCATGAGATATTCTCACAGGATCGGACAGCATGTGGTTTTTACAAGGGAGACAACGATAAAAGGCAACTAGCTAGCCAGCAAAAGTTATGTCTACAGAACCCGAGCATGTTCATAGAGAAGACAAACACCCTTGAAGTCAAGCCAAGGGTGCTTGAGGCCCAACAAGAGGTCACTTGAAGCCTGTAAAAATTTCATAAGATGCCCGTTTCATGAAGTAACCAGAAGGCACTATCCAGATCGACCATTTCAAGATGAAAACATGTGATCAGATGCATTCGACTTTCAATGTACATGAAGATCTTCGATCGTTCGTTCGCCGTTCTCCGAAATTGACCACCCCAGCCGTACCGTAATGTCCTGATATCAGGTTGAGAAGATATTAGTAAAATATGTTGAATCATCCAAATTACACCCCAAAGATGTCCTCCGCGCTGCAGAATGTTGAGGGCGCAGCGTGTAATCTTGTTGTTTGTGGATCAAATGTTTTGCACAAATCCCCAGAAGCGATGACGAGAGCGATGGGAGAAATGTGGCTTCTTCCTGGTCAGTCTTCGTGACGATGCCAAGAATCTATGCAAAAGTGAAGGGCAACATGCGACTCTTCCGTGCCACAATTACCAAAAGAAAGAATGCCAACATGGAAACCCAATGAATGACCTGTTGAAAGGTATAAACCGCCGTAACTCCTTAAATCATGAAACCATCCAGTGTTAAAACGAGAGGGGTAACAAGTGCGTCGTAAAGGAAAGCTGAGTGGGCATAAGGGACATTATCTTCGGTTCAAGAGGTTGAGGAACTCCTCGCGAGTCTTGGCGCTGGAACGCATGCAGCCTAACATGCAGCTAGTGGTCGTGGTGCTGCTAGTCTTCTGCACGCCACGCATGACCATGCAAAGATGGGCGGATTCCATGACGACACCAACACCGCGGGGCTTCAGAACCTCGGAGATCGCGAGGGCAACCTGTTTCGTCAGACGTTCTTGCACTTGTAGACGACGGGAGAACATCTCTGCCAGGCGAGCCAGCTTGGAGAGACCAAGCACGCGGCGGTCAGGGATGTAGCCAATGTGCATCTGTTCGGAATCCTAGTCAGCAATTCGACCCTTGTACGCTGTTGTAGTCAGTCATCTTACTTTGCCCATGAAGGGAACCATGTGGTGCTCGCACAGCGAGAACACCTCGATATCCTTGACGATAACCAGCTCATCGTGATCTTCATGGAAAACAGCACCGTTGACGAGGTCCCGAACGTTCTCCTCGTATCCCTTTGTGAAGTAAAGCATAGCCTTGGCGTATCTCTCGGGCGTCTCCCGCAGTCCTTCTCTTTCCGGATCTTCTCCGACGCATTCCAAAATAGTTCTCACAGCACCGGCCAACTTCTTGATGCGCTCTTCGTTCTCCTCGGGAGTTGACTCCAGGCGCGCCCGGGTACCAGGGCCTGCAGGAGAAGTGGATTAGAAAGACTCCTCTCCGATGGATACATCAATACTCACAAGGCCAGCTCAATCCGTCAAAATCAATGGGAGGGAAAAGGGTGTAAGGGCTGGCTGGTCGGCTTTCGTTGGCAGGCGGGGTCAAGGCACCGGCTTCATCTCTGGCATCACGAGCAGGATCCCTCAGGGTAGGTCTGCGGCTTATCAGTATGAGAATAGTTGCAAGCGAGAAAATAGATGACCTACCTGGCGATGAGAGAACCAGAAGGAGCATCGTCCTGGTACTGACTGGAATCTCCGGCAGGACGGATGTTTTCAGGCAGGTCGGCAAATTCCACAGGAACGCGGGGAGTGAAGGACGAACGAATAGAGGAGTTGAGACTTTCGCGCTCACGAGCATCCCGGGTGCCCAGAGACAGATGAAGGGGAGAACCGCCGTTCAGCATGTGGGAGGGGATGGCGGACTTGGGCTTGGGGCCGTGGGGAGGGGAGGTTCCGGAGGCCATGACTCAAACCAGAGGGGAGGGAGAAGTGGTGGGAGTGGGATGGATGTATGTATGAGGGGGTAATGGAGGTATATGTGTGGAGGAGCTTAGCTGTGGGCAACACGTCCCTGGTCGATGGTGATGAAAATCGCAAGCGAAGTTCACCAGTTTCAATACACAGCAAGACAAACTGACACTTAATGAGCTTCTTGTATTTTTTTTTTTCCTCCGATGAAGGATGAGAAAAGGAAAAAATTAAAGCTCGCCGCGCTGAACGGCGTTACCTTTTCGGAGCGAAATGGCCCCTCTCCGATCGCAGGTGTCCGCTCTCACCGCTCGCACTACTGACCAATCACTCAGCTCAATGCACGGGCTGACACGAGGGGGACTCGCCGCTAGGGGCCCGGGTGTTGATTAGCTCATTCCAGACTGATTTCACCATTCACCATTCTCCGATGCCCCGAACTCCGGACTGCGACAGGACTACTACCTACCTAACTTCCTAATATAAAACAGGTGATGTCCGCAGTGAAGAGGACTTTCTACCGACAAGACAAGAGAATAAATAGTCGCAATTCTTGTAGCATATCTCCTCATCAAAAGTGCCTGGATCTCAAGAGGGTGGCCCGCCGACAATTGCTTGGCAGCTGCACGCCCCCTACCCCGCATGATCTGCACCAGCATCTTCGGCGCATTATTAGCACTCGTAAGTTGTAACACTGCTGCGCACGACCTGCCCTGGCTTATCGGTGCTAACGGTCGGAATGCCGCCGGCGTGCTTATCATGAGGACAACACGGCGAGATTACCTGCAATGCCCTTAATAACATAGGTTTAATAGGTTGTTTATAGAAGCCAGCACTGTATCCTTACAACTATCAATGCCAAGTAGGATGCTTCCCTCTACACTCTGGTCATCGGAATCGATTACGGACGGGCCCAAGATGTCCTTTTCATGCAATGGTTTGTCATTTTTACATAAGGCATCAGAGTAAAATGTTTAGGCACACCAGCGACAGGGTCATCTACTACAAGGGCGTTCCCTGGTTTGCAACTCCGCATGGTTGTATCCGTGAGACGCGTGTAGCAATACAAGAAGCAAGACAACCGCTCAAGGTAGGTATCAATAATGTAGACGTCCGGTTTTTGTTTTAAGCGAAGCCGACTCATGGCTCCAGTTCTTCAGTCGGTACGTCCTCCAGGTCCTTGCCCACAATTGCATCGGCCACCTTCCACACCTGCAGAAGATTGTCCTCCGCAGCAGAGCAGAGCACCCAAGGATCGTTGAGGTTCCAGCTGAAATCGGAGATGCGGTTGGTGTGGCCACCGTGCATAAAGAGACTGAAGCGTTTCCGGTTAGCAGGCGTATTTCACCCCATGATTTGGGCGACGTTAAACTTACAGCTCTGGCGGTCCATCCTGTGCATCCTCGGGGGTCTGCTCCTCTCCAGCCCGGCTGAGATCCCAGAACATGATCTTACGGTCATAGCTTGCACTGGCCAGGACAGATTCTTCGAAGGGGTGCCAAGAGAGGGAGGTCACCGAGTCATTGTGGCATTCCAGGGCGTGCAACTTGGTTTTCAAGTTACGCAGATCCCACAGTCCGATGGACTTATCAGCCGATCCAGTCGCCAGGACGGTCTCGGCAGCAGGGTTGAATGCAATAGCGTTGATGGCATCGCGGTGCTGACCCTCGGCGGAAGCGGCCGCGCGGTTCGTCTCGGCTTCACGAATATCGATGATTTGGAGGGTAATATCGTCGGATACCGTTCCGATCAGGGAAGAGTGCAGAGGGTGATATTGCACGTCATTGACGATAGAAGAGTGGTGCGTGTAGGTCCGCACCGGCTTCAGAGCCTTATTGCCCTTTTGGTATGTCGTCAGATCCCTGACACCGCGATTAGTAGCCGAACACTAATAGGGAGTCAGTGTGTCGATCTTACCAAAGACGAACAGTCTTGTCCTCACTACCTGTGACAAGGTGACCGGCAGTGTGGGGGCTCCAGCTAAGCCCGAAACCTTCTCGCGTATGGCCGAGCAGCTCCATCTGAGGGTTAACCGTTCCGGTGGGTAGACTAGGGTGCTTCGAGCGATCCCAGATCATCACCCGTCCGTCCGTACACATTGTTGCAATGATGTTCGGATTCTGCGGTTGGTAGCGAGCTTTGTTGACTTCACCCTTGTGGTCAATCTTTTGCACGATATTGAATTTGATCTCCATGGGCGCTTTCTTGGAGCTGCCGCCGTACCCGCCAATCTCGCCCCGATCCTCATCGTAGTCATCTGGGTTGGGTGCAGTAGGATTAGGGAGTTGTACATGGGCAATTTGCAAGTAGTTTTGCGCATCGCTCGACGTGTGAGTGCCGATGAGTA